AACTTTTTACTGAAAGCAAGTAGAAGACTCAAGACTGGAAGTCAACAACAAACTTGAAGTTTACCTAATACAAACTGCTATCGATGAAGTCTTTAACATAATATACTGAGGAGCAGGCATTTTAAATGGTTTGCAAAGAGGTTAAGCCTTGTCTTCTTGTGTAGTAGACTCCCTTTTGCGTTCAGCATCCAAATCAGAGAAGTCTCTAGAAACAGTAAGTAAAGGTAAACTCAAGTTTGTTTAAAAACAGAAGGCTATGAAGAACTCTTGGAAGAACACTCACTGGTTGAAAACTCGCAAAACTATGACTACCCTCTTGTCGTTTTCTTTTTTTATAATTTTCGACAAAAAGTAGAGATTTGGCTTATCCTTTCCAAAAGATCAGCATTGTTTACTACTTCCACTTTCAGAAAGTCATAAGTTTTGATATGATGATTGGGAACAAAACAAATCATGTATAAGGAGGAAGTTCTAATAGATATCTGGATCGAAGAATGATAAATAGCACGTATCTTGTTTGGATCAGACGTGGTTATCGGGTAGCCCTCTATTCGGGATGTACCAAAGAAGTAGCTTCCAATAACAGTAATCGAAAAGATCAACCCTGTTAATCTAGAATATGGAAGAGCATGTTCAAAGTAAAGAACTGTAAGTAGCAGAACCGTTCGTAATTGGGGTCAGCTAAAAGTAAAGAAGATGTTAGAATCGACAATCACATTATTGAGGCTTTAAAATCAGATGTTCTAGGATTCAAATTAGATTTAATAGAGAGTTGTAAACTGGAGCAATAATGTAGAGATATGCTTATTCTGAAGTCATATACATATAATTTTTAGCCCTTAGTACAGGTTAAAGTGCATCTTAGTGTGTAGTTTCTTTTTCTTTTTGTCAGATAGCTCTATGTATAGATTTTTATAACCATGTAGATAGTTTTTATCTGGTTAGCAGTTTTTATATCTGAAGATAGATTTTCATAGATTTTAGGATAGTTTTTAGACTCCTTTATAATTTGGTTATTTTTTTTATACGCTTGATTATACTTTACCCCTTTTTCGTTTTTCCTATATCTTTTTTTTTTTTTTTTTACTTTTCTACAAGAAAGTGTCATTAGATTGGCAGTACTTTATTGTAGAGCAGTAATTTTGACAAGGTCAGTGAAACCATCTGTTGATAGCTGGAGGTTATATTCTCAGTAAGTTGAGGATTCCAGAAGGAAGAAAATTATCACTTAGGCGGGTTGCTTCTGGGTTATACTCTAGTGTAGAATTTTGGCTTTGCTTGAATTCTACTGCAATAATGAGACAGATCAAGAGAATTTTTATTTGGACAGGCATGAAGTACTTAATAGCTAAGCAGTAGGATTAGCCATCTGATCCCTAAATATAATGTACTGCTAATTTATAAATAAAAGTAGGATCGCTGAAATAAAAAATAATTTTATTACTTTAAAGTATATGCGGTAGGTTTAATTAATTTTCATTTAAATAATATAAATAAAAAATTTTTTTATTTAACTCAAAAAATTTTTTATTTATTATATTTACTTTAAATTTTTTTTTAATCTATTTTTTATTATGTTAAATATTATTTTTATTGATTTGATATTATTGTACATTAAATAAATTATATTATAAATTTGATTATTTTTATCTATCACACCCTCTTCACTAGGATAGATAGTATAGACATATGGTAGTGTTTTGAACTGTTCAACTGAAAGTTCACCAGTGCTGATCTAAGTAGACTTACAGGTATTTCTAGCCAATCACTGATGTTTGTTTACATCAGGTGAAATAGAATATGTCAATCCTATTTTATCTAATGTAAACAAACATTAGCGATTGGCTGGAAATACCTGTAAGTCTACCCAGATCAGCCCCGATTGAACTTTCGGTTGACGATTCAAAACACCAGCATATAGATATGCCTTTAAGCAAAAAAGGTGAAAGAAAGAAAGAAAGAGAAAAAGAGAAAAAAAAAGAAAAAAAAAAAGAAAAAAAGAAAAAAAGAGAGAAAGGGGTAAAAATAGTATAAAACAGGGAGGTTTTTTTTTTTTTTTTTTTTTTTTGTTTTTTTTTTTAAGCTAATTTTTTTAAATTTGGTTTTCTCTTTTTTTTTAATCTACTTTTTTTAAATTTTTACTTTTTTTAAAAAATTAAACTGCTTATCTGCAAGTGATCTATAATAACTAGTTTTTGTTTATTTGATATACTTTTAAAAAAATAGATACTAATTATTTTATTAGTTTATGTTAATCAGCTATCTACTTTTTGATCACTTTGTTTATTCATCACACTTCTCTAATTTATTAATAACTATTAGTATTCTTAAAAAGGAAATTGTCACTATTTATCAGTTGTCTACTTTTCTATAATATCTTTTTTGATGGTTTTATTAATTCAGATAAATTTTGTCAATCTTTTTTTGTTGGTCAGTCAATCTATCTTTTTTTCCTTAAGGTGTATATTTTTTAAACTTCGAAAAGCTTTGGTCACATCACACCTCCTAAAAGTAGACACTATATTTTTATTTTTTTTACTTTTGTAGATCTTCTACTTTATATTTATTTTATAAATTTAAACCCGTAAGGTAACAATGGCTTTACGGTTTATAATTAATATTAATACCTTAATAAACTGTATATATTCAAAGCAATAATATCAAATTAAGCATCGAAATAGTAAGTTTTTACTATATTGTTAAAGATAATGAATTATATTATTTAAATAATATAGGTTTAGTTAGCAAATATGGTATTTAAAATATTTAATGATACTGAGAAAACATATTTAGTATGCAGTACAAATAATATCCAAAAAATTAAGTTCAATTTATATCACTATACAATTTTTTTTTTGAAAGTATAGTTAGAGCAATTTAAATAAGAATACTTGAAGTATATATTGAATTTTTGGCATTTTTGTTATATAATAATTTTGAAGAAATCATATCAGTTATAGTATATTATTTTTTGATTTATATTTATTTATATTTATTTTTTTTAAAGGAAATTATAAAGGATAATACATAGTAATAGTAATTCTATTTTTTAAAAGTAAGAGAAGTCTTAAACCTTTTCAAGCTTGTTTAGCATTTTTATCTTGAAAAAGAAGAAGATTAGTAGAAACATCTATAATAAGATTATTATTATTAGTAGTAACAACATCAATAGCTTTTCTAGTATTTAAAGAAAGAATAGTGCTATTATCGGTATTAGATGAATTATTTTGATCTGTGTTTTCTGGCGCAGGATCTATATTGTTAGATTCCAGAAAATATTTACTGTAGCGAACTTAAAAAAACAATATTCATAAAATTAATAGAAACAGAGTTGTTATTTAATTGTCTAGCAGATATTGAATATAAGAAAAGCTTTGGTTTTTTTTGTAAAAGATTGAGAGGATAGAGTAGTATATTTCACTTTAATACTATTTAGCTAGTTATCTAATTCTTTACGATACTTAAAATTTGTGATTCATTATTTAAATAAGTCTACTCAATATCAGAGACAATAATATGTAGGATCTTGGATAATCTAATTTTTAACCTTTTGATAACTAATAAAACAGTTTTGGCTAATTATTTTTTATTGTATTGTACTGGTTATTCTCATTTGTATAGAAGATAATAACATTTAAAAGAACATGTTTATTATTAGTAATACTATTGTATGAATGTCTTGTGAGCATAAAACTTTCTCTTCCTTCTTCATTATCTGAACAGTAAAAATCTTGTATAACAGAAACAAAAAAGAGAAGCAAAGGTGATGAGTACAGGAGATCAGTAGAAGTAAAAACATATTTATCGTTAGAAAAATGATACAGAAATAGTTTGTATTAAAGCGATTTGCACAAAGATAAAGACTAATTAGTATATTGTAAAAGTTTATAGCAGTCAAGAAATCTGGAAATAGATTTATACATATTCTATATTATTCTTATATATATATCATCTGATCATTAAAACAATAGAGTTTTTTTTAAGAGAAAATATTAAGGATTCAGGGTTATTAGTAAAACCTTTAAATATAATTTCTCTGAAAGCATCAACATCATTATTAATATGATATAAGCAAGAGGGAGGGCTTTTTTTTAGGTTTATTGAGGTTTAAAAATGCCCTTCAGTTCTAAAAACATATTTATCACTTCTACTAATAGTTTTAACAAAACAAAATGATATAAAGATTGAGGATATGATAAGATATTTAATATAAATAAGGGTTGTTAAAAAATACAGATAAGCAGCAGAGCTTTTTTGAATTTTTTTTTTTTAAGTATTACTAATTATCTTGGCGAGTTTTACTTTTTTTATAGATACAAAAATATGTATAGATAATTTTGATTTTTTAATTAAAAAAACAAAATTAAGCATTTTTTCTCAGATTTTTAAGTAAAATAAAAACAATATTACTGATTTAATATATTTTTTAGTACTGAACAAATTTGATTAGTATATAAAGTTTGAATTTTAAGATTTTGTAAAATTTTATTAATAAAATTTTATAAAATCTTAAAATTCTCAAAATTTTATTAATTAATTTTAACTTTATATACTAAGTAAAATTGTTTAGCACCAAACAATACATATAAGTATATTTAGACTCAAACTATTTTCAAACTTCAGACAAAACCTAAATCAAACTCAGTTTTGATTAAAAAGTTTAAATATAAAAGTTTTCTAAAAGTATTAATACTAATTAATATCAAAAAACTCTTTCCGTAAATCCCGTACACAAACTTAAATAAAAATTCGTGCATCATAAACTTGCCCATATCAAAATAATTTATTAAAGAAACATACCTCCACTGCTTAAGAAAAACTGCTCCTCTCACAGTTTTACACATATCCTATAAGTTTCAAGTCTCTAGCTTAGAAACTCGTAGCAAAAACATCAAAAACCAGTTTTGGTTTTCCTAACCAAACT